GTCTACTCGTAAAGAGACAAGCCCAACAAACGTACTTTATGGCTCAGAAAAAAAAAATCCTTAGTCTTACGCATCTCGTATATCTGAAACTTTTCCTCCTCCTCCTCCTCTCCTGCGGTAGCCGAGGCGGAGCTCTACGAAATTGCCTCTTGAGCAAGCAGGCGGGAGCGGCTGGGCGGGTGAATGGATGAGTAGAAGGTTGGCTGGCGGTGGGTTGGGTATGCGAGGGTGCTGATGGATGGGCGAGTTGGTAAGAGGATAGGCGAGTGAGTGGGTGGATGAGTGAGTGGGTAGGTGGAAGGGCGAGTGGTTGGGTGAGTGGATAGGCGAGTGGGTGGGATGGCGGGCGGGTGAGATGGTGGACGGGTGGGTGGGTGTATATATAGTCAGGAGAGCATGGAGCTAGTGAATTTATGGTTGGGTGCCTGGGGAACAACTGTCCATGAAGGGGGCGTGGGTTGGACGATGGAACGGGCAGACAACGGGTTCGATGGGCTGGTGGACAATTGGGCTTACAGTTAGGCGAAAGGTTGTGCCGTAAGATGCGTGGGTGATGGCTGAAAGGACGGACGATGGCTGGGTGGGTGTGGGCGGAGCGGAAGCTGAGCGGGTGGGCGATGACTGGACCAGAAAGCGGGCGATGGGTGAGCGGGCGGGTGATGGGTGAGTCAGTGGGTGAACGGGCGGACGGGTAGGGGATGCGGGCGGGCAGCCGGGCAATGCGTGGGCGGTTGGGTGGGCGGGTGAGCAATAAGTAGGCGTTGGGCGGGTGCTGGGTGAGTGAGAGGATGGGCGCCCGGGGCAAGGGCATTCGCCTGTCGGCTCGGGTCGCGCGCCTCTCCGAGCGGGCGCTCACGCGTGTTCTGTATCTCCTTTGGCGCAAGGAGCGCGGCTCTCTTCGCCGCAGGAATGCAAACCTCCCCAGATGGAAGAGGCCCTCCGGCGAGGCGGAACATTTGCAAAGACGGCGGGGAGACGACAGAAGAAAGAACTGAGTGAGACCATCTGTTTACATTTTCTTCAGTAATATTGCAGTGGACGGTATTACTAAAAGAATTATTATTAAAACATTGTATGTGGGCGTGACAGGTAGATACATCGCCAATAAATCATCTATGTAAAGAAACATCCATAATCAAAATTAACACATCGACTTTTATAATACATAACCCTAAACCATCATCTCCGTTCAGCACAAAAACAGCGGTCTGATACCCAACTACTCACGACTGTTGGTTCCATGTCTCACTGGGTACAGCGTTTCCCCATTTATGGGAAACAAAGAAGTGTTGGTAATGTAGAATTTACTCTTTCGTTTCAGTCCCTTCAGACTTTGTAAGAAAGAATGTAAAACTAACTGATACGTAGAATTTTTTTTTTAATTTCAAAAATGAAACATCTGCAACATAAATAAAACATAAAGTATAATCATCGGTGTTAAAAAATCGTGTTTAATAAACCCAAGTTAAAAACTGATAGTTTTATAAAAACTATTGGTGCTAAACAGCATATACTTTCTCGCCCTTTAGTGGTAATAATGGTTATGTAATATTATACCGCATTTCTGTCAATATCAACACATCTCAGTCAAAGTGTGAAACCTGCAAATATTTCATTAATTTCAAGCAAAAGTACGCAAAACTACTCGTGTTTTCAAAAAATTGTACACGACCATTTTTGAAGAGCTAATTTTGTGCAACAGACCTTGTCTGAGACAAAAAACGTCTATCTTCAATTTTGAAGTTTTAAATATTTGTCCAATTTTTGAAAAATTGGGGATGTCATCAAAAATGAGACTTGCACCATTTTCTTATGCGTCTTTTATATTATTCAACAATAAAAATGTAATCAACAAATTTGGAGCAATTTTTTTTAACTTTTGAAAATGTCCCAGGGGCTTCAAGTAATGTACCTCCCAAAATTGAAATATCGACTTCAAATTTCCGGGTCCGCGACATTAGCTAGGACAACTGAAAAATATCAATTCTGGAAAAATCGACCAAACGGATTATGCGCTGGCGTTGTGCACAGACGGACGGACAGACACACGTTTTGCCGTCAATCGATTGTTCCATATAAAGAATGCACACTCTGGCTACACCACGAGTTAGAGAATTCTTTTTCTATATTTAGCAACTGGATTTATCCACTTTTTTGTTACAAGAGCTCCGGAATAAGACTTTTTGTGTCGAAATTTCGCCCTGTTGCGGCGCACAATTTCAATACTTTTTCCTCTTACGTTAGTAAGTGCGAGAGTGTAATATCAATGTTTTGCCAAGGTTGACATCGATGGTGCATCCCTAAATCGAAGGCTAACACGTCACGTCAGTTCACCTCGTGAGAAATAAACAAGAACCGGCTGTTGAGAGCTTAATTAATAAAAAAATAACATCAATTCTTTTTGTTACATTTTTTATTCAGCGAGCTAACTAGTGGGTATAGGGTGTAATCTAACAAGCTTAGAACTAGCATTTCAAAATAGCAAGGACACTCCCAATGGAGGCCTCAAGTAATCAACAATAATTTTTGAGAATTCATATTAGGAAAATGGGGGAATAAATTACGTTTACGGGTATGATATTTTCCATAAGGTATATGATGATCATGGGGTTTTCTTTCATGAAGGTATAAACTTATCTTTGGGACTCTAGATTGTATTTTCCTGTGCTGTGTTTATTTCGATAATGTAAATACTTTGTACATAAGAAACAAACATTTGTCAACCAAAAGCTGTAAATCATGCTGGCTACTGAGACTTTTCAGTAATTTAAATATAAATTGTTTAAACATTGGTGACAATTTTTTTCAATCACATTTTGGCGCGAATTCAAATGTTTAAACTGATAAAATTGGTTTAAATGTTTTTCACTATTTTCCACATTGTTTAAAAATCTGAAAAAAGTTTTAGAACATAATAAGACACATTCTAGAGAGAAAAACTGAGACAGTACTCCAACGTTATCACGTCGAAAATCAATTGCAAAAATATATATATTTGTTTTATTTGAATTTGGCATCAAAATTAATTGACAAAAATTCCTTCAAATGCATATATTTGTTCCCGTTTCTGTATTTTTTTCAGCTTGCTACATGAAAAACAAGTATCTCGTTTTATCTCTGCAAGAGATTGCCTTAGGAGGCTGACTTTTTACGAATCTACTTTTTGTGTTCTCTTTCATATGAGCATCAGGAACTTCGATTTGTTTTCGAGGCACTATTCACCGCCTTACCCAGCTATGCACTTTCCTCAAGAATTAATGTTAAAAATCTAATGAACATATTTACTTTCATTGTGAAAATATTGTATTTTGTTTTTATTAAATTCACAAGTCTCCAACTGTAAAGTCTGACCATTCATCTTAAATTCATTAGAGTCCTAGTAAAAGAGAGATACTAAGATTTTGACTCATATTTTTTTATTTACTACATATCGTCATATTCAGGTGTCCAAGGGCGAAACTTCGAAACTCCAAAAATAAGTTCTTAAGACAATTTTCAGAATATTTTGTCTTGTAAACTACTTGGATATACCGAATGGCTAAGCCACCATAAGCACTCAAAAGTAGGTATGAAACACTGCTTTTTAGGCAAACTTGTTTATTACAAAAGAAAGTAATATATTTTTTCAGAAAGAAAAATTAACCAAGAAATAAAAAAGCAGTCGAATTATGTATATTGAGTGCTTTTTCATTTCTGTGTTAATTTTTCTTTCTAAACAAATACATTAATTTATTTTGAAAATAATAAACAATTTACATATTTATGGAGTGTTTCTATGTGTGTGCAATGCAAATTTTCGGCTAGAATGCATTTTTCAAATCAACATTTGAATGCTTATTGCGGCTCAATCAATCGGAATATCCTATTTTGTTTATTAGACAAAATATGCTTAAAATTGTCTTAAGAGCTTATCTCCGAAGTTTCGACGTTTCCTCCCCGGGCATCCTGTATATTATCTATATCACTAATTTCTAACGCGCACAGAAATTTATATAAAACTAAACATCCATCGAGTGAGAGGTGCATCTGGTTTCGTTAGATTCCCAGGAAGCCGCAAAAATCTGAAAACAATGAAACAGTTTCGATTGTGACAGAAAATGCAAATATTTGGTTGGGTTATTTCGCCTATTCCCATACTGCGAATTCCTACTGTGTTGTCTCAGTACGTCACTGCTAAGGTCCAACTGGCGTCACGCGACAGCGAAGAAAAGGTTCCCTTCCGAATTGCGTTATGGAACTGCATTTTTCAAAATATTCTTGGTATGTAAAGAATTCTCTTAGACTCGTACAGTAGATATACTATGCTATGTTATTGCAGTATTCATCAAGGCCGTTTTTGTTAAAATATTTAATTTAATGCAGTGTTATAAGAACATTTTAATTGCTATTGTCAAGCAGCGTGAGTGTTCCATTAAAAAAAACATTTTGTGCTATTTTGTTCGTTAGCAGTTTTGCTGCTGTAGGCTACATAATTAGTTTTTATTGGAAACTATAAATAGTATTAAAGAACTCCAATTGTAGTTGGTTTTTGGGTCTTGTAAAATAACTTATGAGACTTCACGGGCGGATTCTAGTACACTGGTGCGAGTATTAATTTGTGTTTGTCGGTCGGCGTCTGTCTTTATTTTTATGTTTTTGTTCATTTACTTTAGTGAATCCATTAATGTGAACGTATTGAGGCATAAAAATGGAGTCTGATTCGTGTGCATGGACATACACAAAGTCCAATTGTTTCCTAATCTATCAAACATTCGCTTTCCGGCTTGCATCCATCACAGCTGTTCACAGGTTTCCCTCCTGCCGTGCCATGCGCCGTTCCACGTAGTTGAACTGCTCGCGGGTAGGGTGCAGCACTAACGCATACCCGACATCAATACGTGGAGCGTTTCCATGGTAGCGCTTGATTTTCAGATTTGTTACAATAGGTTGGCGGTTTTATATTAGTTTCCACGAGAGTCTGCCGATTTTCATCAGGGTAGAGTTTTCTCTAAACTTTAAACATGGTTGTGGAAGGATTCAAGGAAAGTCCGCACGAAGGATGGGTCTGCAAACAGGATCCACCTCCGAGACTCACGTATGAGCACCGTATACAGGTAATTGTGATTCACCTGTTTCTCGGTTGAGGATGATTTATGCGCATCAGTCAAATATTCTTGTGCAAACACAAAATATAATATCCCGAACACTTTTTTCGTAAATATTAATTACAAATTTTACGCAAAAAATACTTAAAATATATTGATAAAAATAACAAAATTAAAAATTATACATTTCGTACGTGTATACTATCATGACTGGGACAAATATCGATTTAACAATAACATACGATACATTTAACTTCTTGCTCGACTATAGAAATATTGCGTTCCACTTTCAGCACCGTCTGTAAGTGAATATTGTCAAGTGTGAAGTAGCTTCCGATCAACTCACCAGTTTTTGTAAATATTTTTTGTAAATAAAAATAATAAACTTACATTTCACATTGAAAAGTGCAAATATGTATCAAATTCGGTTGTAGGTTCATTTGTTGCATCTCGTGCTGTATTAATTTCTAAAAAAATCCTGGTTGGGCATGAACTATTGCTTCTTACGCTTGAGACCATGACGCATAATTACAGTATATTGTACTTTAAATAGAGTAGTTTTTTCTTAAATAAATTTATATTTAATATTAGAAATTTCTGTAGATAGAAAGATAAGGACTTTTATAATGCTTTTGCAACATGGGTGTATTTATAGTAAATGATACTCATTTGGTAATTAATTCCTGAACAAGATTTATTTGAATAAGAAAGTAGTTAGAAAATCTAGGCATTCTACAACGCCACATAATTGCGAAAAGGAGATCGCTAAGCACATTTTAAATGATTAAAATTAATGTTATTTAATTAAAAATGAAACGTTAGGCCGGCCTTCTATTAAAGAATTGTGCGTACAACTGAATTTTTTTTTCCGATTGTGATAATCCTCTGAAAAAAGTTGAAGTAACTCTTCGAAAGACAAATAACCGTACTGTACATCAATGAAAACTTCATATAATCTATTATTCACACGCACAACAGAGCATAACCCTGTTCGTCAGTTGAATTAATAGCTTCATTTATTTTTAAATTTCAACATATAAATACTGTGAACATTGTGTTAGGAATTGTACTACATCATTTTAACCTTTCCCGAGCATATATTTTAAATGATAGTATTGATGTATTGATGCTCATTAACAATATGAACAGAAGTTTGAACTACAATTGTTAAAATAAAATCCTCTGTTGCAATAACCACGGTACCTAGCAATAATTCGGCAGTTTTTCCCGTCATCTTGTAGTAGCAGGGGGGGTTGGCAATATTTGCGGCTATCGAGGATCACTAGTGAACAGACCCACTAGTTATGTCCAAATTGAACATAATACCAAAAACCGTTCGGGCTTGCCAGCAGTAATTAGTTCAGGTACGTCAATTGATGGTGTGTTCATTCCGAGTGACAGCACAAGTACTGAATTGCAGAGTTTGAGAGACCAATCAATGTGTATCCAAATGTTTCTACCTGAAGTGAAAAAGAAGATTGAAGTTAGAGGATTAATAGATATTGTAAAAAAGAAGTTCGAGTACATCATAAATCACAAGATAGAAACTGCGGTTTGTAATCTCGTCGTTCCCTTTATGACTGAAATATGATTAATTTAAATGTAATTTTATCGGAAACTAATAGTTCTTATTTATAGAATTCCAAATTGGATTTTCTTTTTGATTATTACTTAAACTAACTGCTTTGGGAAATGTTCGTTTTTGAAAGAATTGGATAACTTTATTTTCTTCCGAAATGTATGTATTGTGATTACTGTTGGTTGGCAATGAAGAAAATACAACTCTATGGATCTGGGATTTAAATGCATTTCGTCATTTATTACAATATATAAAAATAATCTGATATGAAAAGCTTATTTTTACATGTTTATATCGTCACCTTTTTCTGACCCAGAACACAAAGGAAAATACAAGAACAGAGATGTACTATTCCTTTTTCATGGGTCTAATAAACTCGTTTTAAGTTAATTTAAAAGACATTTATTATATACGCAATTCATGAGTTCAACTTATTTCTGTAAAATAACTGCCGTTTCCATTTGATGCGCGTTTTATAATTTAAGTTTTATACTGTATCACTAAACAAAAAGGCAACTTCTAATTAGGAAGGTGAAGTGCCGCAAAACTAGCTTACTACTAGAACTTTTCTACAGACTTCTTGTTATGTTCTTCCTTCTTAACTCAGATGATGTTTCTTCATTTCAAAACATTGAACATTTTTTTCTATTAATGATCTGATTGTCACTGATTATTAGGTTCGCTTTAATCTAGTTCTGAAACATTCATTACAAATTTGAGATTCTCCAGACGCCTAATTATTGTGATTTGAAGACCGAAATAAACCAACAATTAACTTTTTCACATTTTGAAAAACGGAATAGCTGTTTTGTATCAATAGATATACAGATCTTTTGGGACTCCCTATATTTTGTTTGAAATACATTCATTCTCAATTATTTGTTAAGTTGAAGGATTCCATTCGGGTTGTGTCAAGAAGAAATGTAATTATGTGTCTGTTACCCTTCTCCAATTCGATGTCGGCTTCGGCGATTCGGTTTCTCGGAATCCATTCAATCGCGAGCACTTTCATTATCCCTCATTTAAACAACGCGTTGGGGCCCTCGCCTGGTCGCCTTCCGCAGCCGTCATCTCCACACGCAGGGAGGTTTAGCTTGGTTCAGAGCAGGGTTAATAGGGGGAGTCAGTTTTAGGAACCAGAGCGCAGGATTAGTGTAGGAGGAATACACATTTTGATTGCATGAAATTAGCACTTTATAATAACGGAAAGGTTCATTACTTCACTTACCCTACAGACATGGATGATGGAAATCCGACACACATCCACAAGTAATATTAAGCATTTGTGAATATATTAAACACTCACCCCCGCGTTTTGTTGTTAGTAATAAAGTTGAATACAGCGAATTGTAATTATTTAGAACTTTATCTTAGCTGCAACCCCTCCTGATTGTATTAAGTTGGAAGGGCAGTATTACCGAACACGGAAGCAATACTACAAGTATGAAACTTGTATACTTGTTAACTTGAATACTTGTATATAACTGAGAAAGGATTTAGACTGATGTAATAAAGTCTTTACTTTAATAGAATATCTCGAGAAGGAAGAACAGCGATCGCACGTCATATTTGCAGGCAGTCGCAACATGTCAGTTTTTACAAGTACCAATGATTATGCTTAATACTTATATTTACATCATTAATATTGATTTCTTGCAACTTTTGGTGTGGGGACATAAAAGTGATGAATGTGGGGACGAAAAAGGCACACGAAATGAGATGGAAAGCATTTTTTGCATGTCCAGCAATCTCCTTCTTCTTGTTATGTTGTTAAATGCAGCAATGTAGTGACATGTCTAAGGGTCGGGATAAGGAGCCTTATACATGCCAAACCTCAACAGCGGTAGTATTGTTAGGCATTTTTGAATTTAGTTCCGCACTCAGTTGCGTGTTTGACATCCATGCCCACCACCAGAGATAGGCGCAACTTAGGTTAGAGTCAAATGTGGGGGGAAAATCAAGTGCATGGGTCCCTGACCGAGAGAATATGGGATTTGATTAGGTTAGGAAGAGCCGGAAATTTAATTTTCCTCGAATTCTTTTAGATGACACACTCAGTATTTTACACCACCTTCGAAAATTCAACCAACCTTCCCCACAGTTCGAACCACTAACGCGGTTTTAAGAAATCAGCGTGCATACCCCATATCACTGTAACGGACTTTTGTATAAGCAGTTTACCCCATTCAGACCAGGTGTACACGATCGTATACGTGTGTTTTCATTTCTATTACGCAGGGAAAATGTTTTTGCGACATATTGTAGTCAATTTTGATTCTTTGATATATCTGTGTTTTAACGTTAGTGCTCTTCATCGGGATATGTAAACAGCAACAAAAGCAAACCGCAATTAAAGTGTACAATGCAATAAACGTCAGAACTGAGGAAGATACATTTCATACCCCTTCAGTCATATTACATAACTAACAGTGCTTTAACTTTAAAGAAAATGGGAGAACGTTACTGCGAATTCCAATTTAGAAATTGGTGGATAGGTTATTGAGTGAAAGAATAAGTATGTATTTTTAAGGAACATCTAACAGGATTGTGTTTTGTGTTTTTGGGATTATATAACAGATACAGAAACAAAGTACTCATTTTCGAAGATGTGTATTCAATTTCACGAGTTATTCAATTTAAATTGGACACAATCATTCGTTTAATGACATAAAAGTAAATGACGTAAAACATAAGTGTTATATTTTTGACTTGTCTCTCAAACTTTTTCAGGGGGTAGAATATCGATTGGCCATTTCTATATAAAGTATCTGACCGTTTAAAAAGATTGCAGTTCCCAAGTGGCCACTACCAGATGAAAGTAGGAGTATGAAAATAAAATAATTAAAAATAGAACACAACGAAAGTTTGCCATTTTCAATCAAGAGATAGAATCAAAATAATCAAAAAAGGGTATTCTATTCACTCATTGAGCTTGACATAACAAATTTAGAACAGTAGCCAAGAATTCAAAGAAACAACGACAAACTTTTTATGGCTGGTGGTTTGACAATGATTGCTGTTTCTTCAATTGTTCTTTATGACAATTTGCAACTGTCAAAAAAAATTCACTGTTCTTGAGGGTCAACTCTCTAAAGTTAACTAGGTAGCTCTTTTACATCACCAAATGCTCAATGACCCTGCATTGTAGCTCCCAAGGATTCCCTTCTTCCCCCATCCGAGTTTCTTCATTCAATTCGATTCGTCTGCGTACTTGTACTTACGCAGAACTCTCTCGCTATCGCGTGGCGCTAACCCGGGGCGGCCGCAACCGTGTTGCGTTGCGGAAGTGGAGGCCATATTATACGTTATCAGAAAAACGTGATTTTAGGCTATAGTTCAGTGGCAATGCATTTTCCTGGTTTAAATGATCAATTGAAATGCCGTGGTTTAAATGATGAAAAGACGCACCACGACTTTACAGTAATATTCACATAAATACATAGATTTCTCAAAATTTGTAAAATGACACTTATACCGTTCTAGTGAATTGATCAATAATCATGTACTACAGCTTCAACAGACCTGTTGTGAATTATTCCCTTCCTCCCCAGTCCAAGTTCTTTCATTCAATTCGATTGGTGTGCAAACGCGGGCTTACGCCGAGCGCTGTCGCTGGTGGCCGCAGCACTAACGCGGGGCGGCCGCGGCGCGCGCGCGTGTTGTTGCAGGCGGAGGCGTTCCCCCCGCGCTGCGGGCCGTGCGTGCAGGAGACGGTGGGCGAGACGTCGCCGGCGCCGGCGCGCGTGTGCCTGGCCGACGACCGCTTCCCGCCGCACCCGTACGGCCCGCCGGCGCGCGACGACTTCGAGCGCCTGCCCATCACGCGCGCGCCGCCCGAGCGCCGCCAGCCGCTGCGCCAGGTGGTCAGCTACTTCCCGCAGCCCACGCTCAGCGACCACCCGCCGCCCTGCTGCGCGCGCGACCCCGCCCGCCCGCAGCGCCCCGACTGCCCGCCCGACTACCCGCCCGACCCGCGTGCGCACGCGTGCTGCGAGGACGCGGAGATGCAGGCCGCCCCCGCCGCGCCGCCCGGCAGGATGGCCGCCGCCGTCGGTGAGCGCAACTCAGAAATCCTCATTTATGACTTGTTACTATGACACAGAAGAGATACTTGAACAGTCATTAAAAGTGTGACTTCACAATATGGTCGGTAGTGGGTGATTACTAGTGACTTGTGTGATCACTATATGATTGATCAAGATACTAAAAGTGACATAACTAAAACAAAGGTACGTTCTTTGGGCTTGATGCTAGAATTAACACCATTCAATCCTGGTTTTTTATCCGTTCTGATTAGCGCAGATAAATTTGTTTGTCTTAGTAATGTTGTATTATCCACAAATGTTTTTCGTGACTCATGGAATACCTGACATGTTCAGTTGTGCCTCTTTTGTAGCAATTATGCAATATTTAGTTTTCAGTACTCGTAGAGTTTCTAAACTTGCCGAACGCAAACCTCAAAGAATGATAACAAGTCCGTTTAGATCGAACGGGGAATATCAATTATGGGGAAAATCGGCTAAACAGTTGAAGCACTGGCATTGTCCACAGACTGACAGTCAGACACGTTTTGCCCTATACAGATTTCTCCGCTTCTGAGACCCACAAAACATTGATTGGTGGTGGTTACACGACGTTATATAGGATTTTGTTTCTAAATTTTGCAACGATATATTGACTTTTTCTTAACCAGGGCCCGGTAGAGAGTTTTTCTCCTAAAAATGATGAGTTTTCCGACGAAAGATTACATAACTTTCTCCTCTTACAAAATATTGTCGTAAGGGCGAGAAAGTAAACAACTACTGGTAGTGCTGAATGGCACAAACTTTCCCGTATTAGTTTTTTATTTCAATTGGTCTCGGCTAGCTATTCGGACCTGCCACATACTCTTGCCAACTGCCATCTATCGCCGCCCATAGCACATTAAAAATAGTTCTTAATTTTTCGCCATCCTAATAGAAGAACGGAAATATTATTTAAGAATTTTAAAGAACAGTAAATCCTCGTCCTAAATGGCAATTTTCTTTGAAAAAATTGGAGCCGTTTTTAAGAAAATGGCATTTGATTGCTACTATAAATTCGAAATTTGAACTTTTCCCACAGAATACTATTGATTTTTCGAAAAACTTCATACGCTGTCATATCTAGCACTTATAGTCACAAATGAAATAGTGTTTACAAATCGCTATAAAGTGTGAGAGATCTTACAAAAAGTTTACATTTGTGTACTTTTTGGGAAAAAAATACAGCGAAATTAATTCTATGTCATCTTAAATAGTGAAATTAGTGCTATCTGTAAGGAAAGTTGGAAGAAAAAATTTGGAGCTGTTTTTAAGAAAGTATTTTTCAATTTGAAAAAATTATACTCACGGTTCAATCGCTAGTAGTGTTCACAGATGGACAGACAGACGGACGTTTTGAAAAGAACCACTTTTTCGGTATCAGGAACTTCAAAACGTGTATTTCCTTTGAAATCTGGAAATCGAGTTACCGCAGCATTACATAACTTTCCCTAAACTACGCATATTGCTCCGTGTATACGTATGTATACGGAAAAGTAAAAAAAACTGCAAAAAGTAAACAAAACCCTGGGGCGATGTGAATCAAAATGAATATTAAGATTAATTCTAAAAGTACATACTTTTAAGTTTCTATAGACTAGTGGTAAGAAATAATCTACCTATCTCTTACGAAAGTAGAATTGGTGATTTTGTTTCAGAATATCTACCTCGCCACCAATCGCCGCCTCAGTCATCAACATTTTATTTGTACGCCAAAGAATCATTTACTGTATTAATTACTAGTTCATATTACTAGTTCTGTTGCATCAACTTTACGCAAGCAAATAAACTAATAGTTACTCTTAATGGCCGGCGTCCGCTAACAATTTTATTGTACACCGACCGTAAAGAAAAATCAAAACAAATGAGTTGCAACTAAAGATACCTGATGTACTTGTTTACTAAAAAACCTATTGCTGAAATAAATAACTTGGATTGGTTAATTATTTTACATCGGTCTAAAGACGTCGATAGTTATATCACATGGAATGATTATTTGGGGACACGCAGAAGTTTATTAATATATCACCAGATTCAGCTTAGGGTTGGGGCCCACGTTGGTTAGGGATTCCCAATAATTGGTTAAAAAATTTATAAATGCAATAGATATTTAAAATATAGTAAATATACATTATTTAAGTTGCAAAGATCATCGCTTACTTTCGTGGTGATTTTCAAGTAAGAGGCAAGGGAAAGGGGAATATTCTGAGGAACCCTGCCACGAATCTCCTTCGAGCCTCAAAAATTGAATTTGTATGGGGCGAAGAGAGCCCAAGTAGATTCATGAAAACAATCAATTCTTGTGTATGAAGAGAGAGTGTTATTTAATAGAGAATGGTGCAAACTCGTGACTGTGTTTTCGAGCAATACTCGAGCAATAGATATTCAGTTTCATCGAGTTTGTATGTGTTCATAATCTCGCCGCGACTCGGACCCTCAGTTCTACCCTTCATCTGGGCAAGGGCGCGTTGCTATCTGCGCTGTGAACATCCAACACGACTGTACACAAGACCGTTTTACTAGTACACCCGGTGAAAATATGGGCAACAGCCAACCCATTTCCCAAGAAAAACAAAAATCTACGGGTTTCATTTCCGTTGATGATACCAGCCGGGTAGTAGCCACTAACGCTGCTGTTTGCCAGAACTCGGGGATATTTTCTCGAATCTTAAGAGAGATAGTGGGGGGAGGTAGATCTGGAGAGGGGCATGGGGGCGGATATATTTTTATTTTCTGTGGTATCTTCCCTAATTTTAAATTTATTAATTTTTTTTTCTTTTGCGTAGCATTAGTCTCGCCCAGAAAAGGGTTTGCAAGATCTCCCCGCCGGCATTTGACAGTTTTGACGCGGTGAGTTACGACGGGTCGTACCCCATCGAGGAGTCCCAGCCCGATTTGGGGGGAGATGATAAGATGAGGATGGGACGGAGAGGTCACGGGTGGTCCATGACCTGTAGTGTACGGTACTGCTTTATCGTGAGACTGGATGTTAGGATATTGTAAACCACGGAAAATATTATCATTAACCAGGGCAGTTGGCCTGTGATTTTGTGACAAACGCCAGATATTCACAAATGTTCAATACATCAAGTAAATGTTTGGCTCCTTATCAGGAATTAACCAACAATCTACCCAATACACGAAAGCTAAAAGGCGTTGTCTACACTTTCGCAGTCAAAGCGGTTGGCATAACATCCAAGAATACGATATATACAATACATTGATCATTCTATTACATTTTTGCTGGGGGAGGGGGAGGCGAGAGGGGGAAGAGTTAGGAGAAAAGAGAGAGAGAGAAAGAAAGAGAAAGAGAGAGAGAGAAAGAGAGAGAAAGAGAGAGAAAGAGAGACAAAGAGAGACAAAGAGGGAGAAAGAGAAACAGAGAGAGAAAGAGAGACAGAGAGATAGAGAGAGAGAAAGAGAGAGAGGGAACGGGAATGAAGAGCAAAACAACGTCTACCGGGTTCCGCTAGTTTAGTATAAAAATAAGATAACAACTATGCAGTTTTTAATCTTGTATTTTTAGAAGGGTATGTAACTAGGAATAATGAGGATGGCACATTCACATCTCACCATATTTGTTAACTAGCAATTTTTGAGCATATAATATGCAGATTGAAAAACACTTCAATTTTTGGCCGAAATATTGATATAATTGGTTTTTGATTTATAAACTGATTTCTAATTATACGGTCTCATGCACCGAATCATCTCGTTCTCGAGAATATTTGACGATGCGGAATAAATGGTTAACATGTTCAGCAAAAACGACTTATTACTGTTTTAATAGAACTGAATTACCATGATAATTAATAGACATTGTATTTACGTATAAACGCTATGTATGCAAATCAGTTTGCTTTGTATACCCCAGGAAAGTTGTGTTAAATTTAAATATAAAATTGTAATTTAACTTGTTAATACACCTTAATAATTCAATTAAAATAAACAAGTATTAAGAACATTTTTGTATAACATTAATCAATTCTCTATATATAACTGCACCAAAACTGATTAATGTAGTTACAAAAGTAATAAGGTCAGCATGTTACATTCGAATATAAATGCTTTGTTTTTCAATAAGCTTAGACTACATGTTTTGACATTGTTTTATATATTTGGCAAGTAATGAAATAATAATGTTCGGAATGTCGGGAATCTGTTCTCTTATATCCACACGATTGAAAAGGCAATGACGCATTTATCTCTTTATTTAGAGATCAATTACTTTGAGTTTTCATTTGATATTCTTTGTTTCAAAATATTTTAATTCAAATTCGAATTTTTGAAAAAAATGGATGTGGAACATATTGTGCATAATGATTTACGTTTAATAAATGTTTTTTAAACGTATTAATGCATTAAAGATATCAAGAAACACGCGAGAGGTGATGAATGATGTTTTGAATCATGAAATGCGCTACACAGAGATCGTCGCTAGCCAACTAAATAACAGGTTGATGTTATTTAACATTTTATTTATTCATTGAGTTTGATTCTAATGATATGTACATTATGCCAGGCCCGGTAACTAACTGGATTCAGAGCATCAAAGCCCGGAAGATGTCCAGGGCATCGCCGGTGCCCCTTCCCCTTTCGCTCCTTCCCCCTACACCTGTCCCCTCTTCGGGCGACCCTCTGCTTCCCACCTCCATCTACGAGAGGTACGGAGGGTCCCCGGGGCGTGTGAGGAGGGCATCCATCCGCACTTAACCTAATCTTCCTCGAACCAAGCACCCAACCTAACCTACTCCTCCCAAAACCGAGCACCCAACTTAGCCTTTTCTGCTTCTACCCATCAGCCAACCTAAGCTTTTGTGTCCAGTACCTAACAGCCAATCTACCCTCCTTTTCCCAGTGCCGAGTACCCAAACTATCCTACTATTCCCAGAACCGAGCAAGTATTGCGATAGGTCCGATGCCTCCTGATTTAGACAGACTTCGCTTATGGCTGAGTGTACGAATGCTAAGTGGGGGTGTGCCTGCGCAGGGCTGTGCCCGCGCTGCCGGAGCGGCCGTGCTGCCGTCGTGCCCCGCGGAGACGCAGAGCGCCTGCGACCCGCAGCCCGGGTGCCCGCCCTGCGGCCTCCCCCTGCGAGCCTCCGCGCCCTGCGAGCCCGCGGCCCTGCCCGCCGCCGCCGTGCGCCCGCGCCCCCTGCGGGCCCCGCTCTGCCCGCCCCGCCCTGCGGCCCGCCCCCGTGCATCCCGCCTAACACCTTCCCCGTTCACCCCGAGGCGGCGGGCAGCTGCAACCGCCTCGTCTCAGAGGTACCCAGCATCTTCACGCGCACCGCCAGGTTGCTCCACTGGGCCAAGGTGTTAGTATATGAGACTGTGTGGGACGCTGCCTGCTGCGTTTGCGCGTTCGCATGCTACGTGACTGCCGTTGGTTTTTCATACGTAGCACTCAATTGGATGCTCCACTGAGCCTAGGTTTCAGAATGGACTCGTTTGAAGAACGTTGCATACTTCATTTGCAGTTGCATGCTACGTACTAGTTGCATCTTCGTTTTGTCCCATTCGTTTCGTTACAGTTACAGTATCCACAGGGATGCGCCCGAGTGTTAATACGTAATTCCGTTCCGAACATTGCATGCTTTAATTGCATGGTTGTACTCTATGTGGGCTGTTAAAGTGTTGCCTCATTTGTGTCATGTATTGTCACCGTAAGTAAATTACCTGACTATTGTACTGAGCTGAGGTGTTGCTATTGGCTCTTCTCGCGACGTTACTAGTTGAATTTGCTCGGTTTGCATGCCACGCAAGCGATCAAAATGTCTCAAGTTTTCTTTCGTTTCATTCAAGCATTCTATCGTTCACGTGACTGGTTCACTGGGCCAAGGTTTTGGTGGAGATTCTCCTTCTCAATGATGTGTACTGCAGTAGCATCCTACATTGTTCTAGCATTGTCGTCCTTCGCATTGGTTTTTTAAAATCATTTTCAAGAACATTAAAGTGAATGAAACTTACTGAGGCAAAGTGTTAGAACGAACTAAGGAACGTTATTTCATTGCTACTGTGTTACATTAGACACCACTGCAAAGCCGGTGTAATTCATGCTGCTTGCTATGTTTGTCATCCTGTCTAATGCACTCTTAGATGCTTTATTGTTCACGTTTTAAAATATTCCTCCACGCTTAAATGTTTAATGTCCATGTAAAGAAGTGTTTGCACTGTTGAATGATACTTGCTGTTTTTGCCCTTTTGAATTGGTAAAAACTCTGGAAAATCAACTATTTATTTTTCCAATATTATTTCCTGTGATATGATTTCTGGAAGCATGAAAAAACATTAATAAAAATCAATATTTGCTGGTACCTGTCCGACTTAAGGCATGTCAGCATAATTTTCTTTGAACATTTGTCTTTATGCTTGTATCCTGTAAAGCACCTGTTGTATTGCATAATATAATAAACCAATATATTACCCCTCGTATCTTCTTAATGACGAAAACACTAGATAAGAAATATAAAAAGTGCGTAAAGAATAGAAAAATTGTTTTTCCTGACAATTACTACGAGATTCTTGCAAGCAAGGAAGAGGCATTAGATATTATTTCCTAAGATAATATAATTCAAAATACTATTTACACTTGAAGAAAAGTTTCCTTTCCCATGACCTTCGAATTTTTTAATAGTATAATTTTATCATTTGTAATTTAATTTTAGAATTAACAGATAAACAGCACAATACTTACCGTTTTATAAAATTTGTCTGCTTATAAAATAATAATTTAAAACTAATCTTTGTATTGCATGTAAAATCTATTTTCCGGTATAATTACCAAACATTAAATGCAGATAACCATTTTAAAAATTGCAGCTAGAACATAATCTAAGATTCTTCGTAAATAAATGTTCATGTTTCTAAGAAATATAGGATTTGAATAGTTACATGAAACTTCTGAGGTCCAGATTTACTGAAAAAACTGCATTACTCTTATTTTACAGAAATTCATTGCAAATGGAAGTGTGAACAATTTTAAATGTCAAGTTGGATAGCAATACCCTATCCTTTTAAAGTTCCACATCAGGCAAATCTCTCAAATGCGTATGATTTATATGCGAAGGAATGCTGAAACCCACCCTGGCTTATGTTTCTTTTACTCTATGCAGTGAAAATGGTAGAAAATGAGAGACCTTTGCCATCATGTTTTCTTCCACCTACTATATTTACACTCTTTATGAATAATTCATGTTGAAACACGGACGAATTACATAACTGGGACTTGCTGTTCGAAAGAGTGCCAAATTTTGAAAGAAACAAAATAATGATTTCAAATGATTTAGTCAGTAAATACTTTGTATTTCACTGCTTGTCACATTTCTTACAATGGAAATGCAGTGAGACGATACTGTCCTCCTTTTCTGTGCAAATAGAGAAAAATGTTCAGCAGAATTTAAATAAAAGTTTTCTTATAATGAAACTAAAACGTATTTTATTTCAGTCGTCCCGTACCACATGGTTGTAAACAATACCCTTCAGTTACATTACTAAAAGACATGCAGTATAAAAGAAATCACCAAAAATAATATTAATTTATTTTAAAGTAAATGAATTTGTAATTTTGCAAATATGACATTAGAAGAACTTCAGGAAATTATCAAATTTTGTCTAAACTAGGTTGGCGTCTGCCAATATGAAGTCGTGAAGTAATTTAAAATCGGTATATTATTCGCTAATGTAATTTAATTTATTTGAAAAGGAAAGTTAAGTTGTTTTGGATACTTCAGGAGAACCCGTGGTTTATTTGTTTGGGGTAGGTAGAACAATTTTATCCAATAAAATCAATACTTTTTGTTTTTCTAAATGTCGAAGTTGCTGAATGGACAAAATGTCTGGAAAGAGGTATTCGAGTTCCTGGATTTGTGGCGCGTGAGACAGAATGGTTTGACTAATGTGGTTTTTGACTTTTGTGAACAAAAAAGTATTTTATTGGCAATATCCTCAACAATTTGTTTATTTTTTTCGTCTCATCATAAGCACAACCGTGTCATAGTAATGTAACAAGAAAACTAGTTGTTAATCCGCTGAAAGTAGCAAAGCTGAATTGCATGGTATCAAGTGACCTGAGAATAGTATTTAACTATTCAAAACACTAAAGAGATCCTTCGTCGACGAGAGGAAGATATTACCTCATGAGCGATACCTTTCTCGGGTAGGTAAAGTATTTATGGTCATGTGTAACTTCTTATTTCATTGCAATTTTTATCAGAATTGGAAATAAAAATATACATTTACATTAACACGAAGCATTTACCACCAGGAGCGTGTGCGCTTGGGCCATAATCGCCCAGGGCAGCAGATAAAACAATTTCTTAACAATCACAAGTAAAAGCGAGGCACACAGTACAAGTACATTGTGAATGCAAGAAAGAATACAAAATACTTTCGACTGATCGCATACTATTTAACTTAACTTAATAAAGCTAACAATTAAATGATTTGCAGACATGAAATAAAATAGAACGACATTCATTATGGTTGTTGAATATAATAGTGTATGATACCCGCTGTTAAAGTGCGAGTAAAAACAGCACATTATTGGCCATTAATTATCTATAATCCCGCGAATTAAACAATAGTTGGTTTTTAATATTCATTAAGATATAAATTATGATTATTTTGTTGTTGATATTTCACATCCAGCTGTGTATATTTCCCTTTTTCTACGACTGCAGTAGTAGTGCGTGTGTCTATCAAATTCAGTACATTGTGCCGACGCGCTGTCTGCGTATTTGCCGCTGCGATGCGTAGCACGCAGTGCCGATGCTCGATGAGCGCATGGCGAGGGCCTCTCGAGAGCGACTGCGTATTCACGCGTTGCTGTTCAATTCGTCACTCGACATCCTTGCACCCCGGGAGTAGGTCAAAGTTGCACACTGTCTATGTCTCATTCAACGTTGAATGAATTTAAACGGCGAAAAGTTTCGTATATTTTTTACTAACGGGTAGGGCGTACACACAGCTTTATTTTGTTTGTATCCTGTCTGCAATGCGTGATTACGGCCCCACAAGCTAATTTCCTAGTTGATTAAAAACTGCTATTTGTAAAGCAATTCAAATTTTGTTCCTAGCCGGAGGGACATTTTTCGCAATTAACTTGAAATTGACTGGCAGAGTGACTGGCGCGATTGACTGGCTGGACAACACAAAGTGTAATATTTGGCAAAAGATACAAATGGAACCGACTCATGCATTGTGTCCTGAAGGGGAAAAGCAAGGTGCAAACACGTTCAAAAGAAAATAGCAAATAATAGAGTAATCAATGTTGATGGCATCAATGTTCAACTAGTCGAGGTTCGAATTATTGTTGCTCGAATAATTGGACACTCTATTATTCATTGTTTGAATTATTGATATTTGAGAGATCGGTGTTCGAATTATCCAAATTTCAATAATCGTCGTTCGGGAAACGGAGGTTTAGTTGACGGGGTTTTGGGTGACGGGGTTTTGGGTGACGGGGTTTTGGGTGACGGGGTTTTGGGTGACGGTTTTGGTGACGGGGTTTTGGGTTGACGGGGTTTTTTTGGGTGACGGGGTTTTGGGTGGACGGGGTTTTGGTGACGGGGTTTGGGTGACGGGGGTTTGGTGACGGGGGTTTTGGGTGCACGGGGTTTGGGTGGACGGGGGTTTGGGTGACGGGGGTTTGGGTGACGGGGGTTTGGGTGACGGAGGTTTGGGTGACGGAAGTTTGGGTGATAAGAGGTTTGAGCGATGAGAAGTTTGAGTGAAAAGAGGTTTGAGTGATATGATGTTTGACTGATGGAAATTAGAGTGGGCAGGTCCGAAAGATGCATGATGGAGGTTCGATTTGATAGTTTAGAAAGATGGAAGTCCGAATGATGAGGGTTCGAGTATGGAGAATCGAGGTTTGAATGATGATGACGTAGTTGGAGAGGATGAGACCCGAGTGCCGGAGATTGCCTCGCGCTGACGGGCGGGGGTGGGCGGCGTGCGGCAGGCGGCGTGCCCGCGTCGGCGCGGGTGCTCGTGGCCCGCCAAGGCCTTCAAGCCGTGCGACGACTCGTCGGGGCCGCCCCAGGGCCCGCCCTGCTTCCTGCCCTGGGAGGCCCGCCGCGCCGCCAAGGACGACCCCAATGCCCCTGACGCGGGCGTCAAGATCGTGGACAAGTTCAACAAGATGGCGTACTCAGACTGCGACTGGCGGGAGCACTACCGCGAAGTGCTGGGTCACTTTAACGAAGTGCACCATGCTGCCAATTGGTGAGTGTCCCGCCCGTATACATAGATAGATGGAGATAGGTATGATAGGATAGGTTGAGACTAATTAATGAAGCGAGAATCGGTCCGAAAAAGACCGAAAGACCTGAAAATCACCTTATATTAGAATTATTCCTTGAAAACACAGATCGTAGAGTATGAGAATTTTTTGTAAGAGAATCTTCTCTCATTCCACACATCACAAATCGTTCCAATTCATCTTTCAAAAAATATATAAATAGTCTATTAGAGTAGCGTAATAAGCTAAGAAATAATTTAATTCTCAGATTGTTACGGTACTCTAATAAACTATGTCCAATGGAATTTTTGTCATTGGCTAAGCAGATTTCTCTTTTAATGTGCTTACAAGAACAGGATTGAATATGACAATGAGTGAGGGGAAATACTTTCTTGACGAACTAAGGGAAAAGTAAAGACAAAGATATGAAGATAAATTCTTCCAACAGTTCCCATCAGTTTTTAAAATGGTATCAAAAAGACTAGAGGGAATGCAAATTGTAAGACTATGATGGCAACTATAAAGTGGTACATCAAGTTACTCAAAACCTGTAAACCTAGTGGTGCTACAGAATGGCATAGACCTTCCCGTATTACTTTTCTATTTCCTTTGGTCTCGGCTAGCTATTCGGACTTGGTACATACTCTTGCCAACTGCCGTCTATCGCCGCTCAAGTACATTTTTTAATAAGAGTCTTAATTTTAAAGTTTCCTAATAGTAGAACGGGAATATCATTTTAAGAATATTAAAGAACGGTAAAACCGCGTTCCAAATGGCAGTTTTCTTTAAAAAATTGTTAAGAAAATGTCGCTTAAGCACTACTGTAAATTTGAAGCTCTTTTTCACAGAAAGTGTTTGACTTTTCCAAAGACTTCATTTCAAGGAAGCACTTAAATTCACAAATACAATAGTGGTTACCAATTTCTGGAAATGTTCATTTCAACGGCGTGGAAGATCTTTCAAACAAATCATATTTGTGTAATTTAGAGACACAAGAATACACCAAAATGAACCTTTCATCATATTAAAGAGTGATTAGCCCTATCCGTTCGAAACGTTTGAAGACAAAAATATGGAGCCATTTTTGAGGAAATGGTGTTTGTGCGTTTCTAAAAGTATGAGCAACATGGCGTTTATATCATCTTATAAAGTATATTTAACGCTATCTCTACCAAGAGTTTAAAGAAAAAAAAATTAGAGCAGTTTTTGGGAAAATCTTGTTTTCGTATTTTGTTTAAATTGCCCTTATTACAAGCAATATTGCATGAAAAGTGCTAGAAGTTTAAAAAAAATGAAGATGATCTTAATGAAAGAACTCACTATGGAGAACAAATTTTATTTGAAGAAAAAAATCTCCATCTTCAATTTTGTAGTTGTAAGAAAACGCCCGGAAAAATTCATATTTTTAAAAATGTAGAGTTAACCGTGAAAATCGGACCTATGCCACGTTTATAAGTGTATGTTACTCTATTCTTGCAATAAATTTAAAAAAAAATTCAAACCGTATTTAAGAAAATTTTGAAAATGTTCCAGGAGCTTCATCTAAAGTACCCCAAAAAACGAATGAATAATTTTCAAAATCGCAGAGCCTCAATTTGGGCCAAGTGAACATGGATTTCTTCAATTAGGAGAAAATACTATGTGTGGGGTAGGTGCTAGGAGTGTTTCCAGACGGACAGACAGACGGACAGACAGACGGGCAAACGCGGACAGACACGGGCAGACAGACGGACAGATGGACGGACAGAGACAGACGAACAGACCGAGACGGCAGACGGGCAGATGGACAGCGAGACGGGCAGCCAGACAGACGGACGAATAGACAGATGGATATATAAACCGACAGACGGATAGACGGACGGACGGAAGGACAGACAGTCAGACAGAAGAAACGGATCGACAGACGGACATACAGACGGAGAAACGGATCGACAGACGGACAGAGACGGTCACACAGACACACGGACGAACCGACCGACAGACGGACGGACAGACGGACGTTTTGAAAAGAACCACTTTTCTGGTGTCCTCGGTACACCAAAACGTGTATTTCCGTTGAAATGTCGAAATCCTTTTTCCGCAGCATTACAAACTTTCCTTATACTATGTATATTATTACTTCGTATATACATATGTATACGGGAAAGTAAAAACAGTGTGTTAGCATTAGGTACGTAGGCTGGTATAGCGGTGCTCATCTATCATTACCTATCGCGCTAAGCATGAATGTGCATGTGCCTTAGTAGGGCACATGGGCAGATGTAGGGTGTGTTGGAGATCTACCAAAAACGAACGGAAGAGTAGGATCATGCCGGTTAGTGTCGGATTATTAGTTGTAGTAAAGAAATATAGAATATCTCTGCAATATATCTGAGAGGTGATCGGATGTGTGCATGGGTGTTTTAAGAAAAATGGTCTGCTGTCCACGGGGTAAAACTCGTGACAGGAAATAGAAATTCTAGAGAACGCTACGAAACCTAATTTGTGTTCTTAAAACCGTTTAGAACATTCTAATGATGCCTTTACATTGAGGGTGTTTCGTGCTAGATATCGGGCGACGGATTAAAGTTAAAGCACTTATCAAATAACACTGTAATTGTTGTTAATGTCATGAAAACTCTTGTCAATTATCACCGACAGTTGAAATTGAAAAAAATCACTGATGACAATGTAGTTCTTTAACTGATAGAAAACACAGCTCCCGTAGAGGCACCTTAAGAATACATTGAAATCAGAGTACTTTTCAATGTACTTCAATGTACTTTGACATAGGAGCTTGCTTTAAGATTGCTTGCTTTGTACAATGTTGTACGCGTGACCAATAAACAAATTTAGAGCCGAGCAAACTAAAGAGAATCGGAAAAAATAATACGCACAATTCAGACTTAAATTGTCATGAACTTTCTTAACATCGATTCGGCAAGAAAATTATGATTGAGAATGAATCAGAACGTGTCATCAATCTGTTTTATTTCTGGCGTTTTTTCGACTTCTGCATCGCGTGAGGAGATACTTTACATGTTTGTTATTGGGCATGAGTGTTAAGTGCATGATGTGTTATGTGCTTAGTTGACATGCAAGCTTTGCATGTAACACCGTGTGTGCCGAAGAGCGTCCGGGCACATTAACAAAGCGTCAAATTTTGTTTTTAAAGTGAGCGTTTTTTTAAGCACGTTACTGGTCGTCGAATTAATTGCATGAAGTGCGATGCGCTTGCTTGGCATCGACTCGATGGGCAAGCTTCGAATGTGGGTGATGTTATGTGTACTAACGAAATAATAATAAATTCAAGAGTAATAAAAGAGTTTTAAAATTGGCGAGAGAATGCATGTCAGTAAGATTTAGGTGCATGACGACTAATTAGCTTGCATGCCATCAACAAACAAGCTTTGCATTATAGTACTGGGCAATTGAGAAGTTTGAGAAAATCATAAATCATTAAAATTCGATTTTCAAACATCCATATTTTAAATGCATCACCGAAAAAGTTAGATGCGAAATACAATTCCTTAGGATTACCTCGACTGGCAAGATGTGCACGAAGCAAAATTTGGGTGTAAAAAGGGAAATTGGAAGAAATTCCTAAATCAAACCAGAGTTCCAAATTATCTAAAAATGGGTGTATTTGAAAGAGTGCGTCGTCGTAAGAGTTAATTATTGCTTGATATGTGTGGGTTTAATTTAACATCTATTCGTCAGGTAACCGTTTTATGAGGACGACGCCTCGTCTCCGTGTGCTACCAATACATGAAAGTAATTAAGAATGGACAAATGTCAATCGAAATAAATTCAGTGTCTCTATATGCAATTCAAAATTGGCATATTTGAAGTATATCGCCGATAGTGTTACATCATCGCGACCATTAAGCTGTGTTTGGGATCACTGAACAAATGAATCGGAATAAATTGAAGTCGTAATTCGCTTTCAAAATGGGTGTATTTTTAAGAGAATCACCGGTACGTTAATTGTGTGATACAGTATGCGCCTGCTTAGAATCGACTCGTGCTTGTGTTCAGTGCAGATGTGAGAATTGAAATAAATTCAAGTCGTTAATTGAACGTCGCGTGCTGAGCTTGCTTTAACGTCGACGCGACAGGCAAGCTGTGCTTGCGATTATTGTAGAAATGAGAATCGAAATAAATTAAAGTTGGAGCATCTTTAAGTGTATTACAGGCAACTGTGTGGTACATGATTGCCTTGATGTGCCTACGAAGACGTTAATTGCGTGACGAATGCTGTACTTGTTTCAGCATAGACGCAATCAGCAAGCTGTGGTTGTGGTTATTGTTCAAATGACAAGCAGAATAAATTCAAGCAATAATTCACTTTCAAAACGGGCGCAATATAAGCGCATCACGTAGAGTTAATAGTGTGGTACTTGATGTGCTTACTTAGAATCAACTCGTGCTTGTGCTCAGTGTAGTAATGAGATTCGAAATAAATTGAAGACAAAAATAGCTTTCTAAACGTGCGTATTTTTAAGCGCATCACAAAAGAGTGAATTGCGTTCTGCGCTTGTGGCAGCACTGACGCAATGGAGCAACCGTGCTTGTGTTCTTGGTACAGATTTGAATGGGAATAATGCCGAGTCAAAATTCTCTTTCTGAACAGTCGCGTGCTACAACATCAACACGATGGGAAGCTGTGCTTGTGCTCATTGTAAAAATGGTGGTCGGATTAAATTCAAGTCGTTAATTGCGGGACGTATGCATCGCTTGCTTTAGCATCGATTCGACGGTCATGCGTGATTGTGCAGTGTACAGATACGAATCGGAAGAAAGTCAAGTCAAAATTCGTTTTATAAACGGGCGTATTTTGTATGCGCATCACCGCAAGAATTATTAGCTGACGAATGCTGCAGCGTTGAAGCGACGAGCAAGCAGTGCTTGAGCTCACTGCACAATCGGAATCAAGTTGTTAATTGCGTGACGCGTGCTGCGCTTGCTTTAGCATCGACGCCACTCTTCAGCCGTGCTTTTTCTCAATG